TGTTACTCATATTCATATTCTCATGCTTTCGAATAAAAAGCCCTAATAGATTTTCTATTCACTAGAAAATGCTTAAAACTTGAGATCAAATTCGATTTTCAAAGATTTGTCTCGAATTACTAGTATTAATTTCAATAGCCTAGCCATTTTCTGGTCATGTTGTGAGCACAACAAAAGTATCTATTGTTTCATTTTAACAGTAAAATCAATTTGAATATGTAATCTTGTATTTATACACTGGCATGCAAAAGAGTATGATAAACAGAATGAAGAAGAATAAATTCTATTTTTTTAGCATGTAAAATTTTATTATCTAGTATAACATTAACTAATGTTCGTGCAAGACAATGCTCAGAATTTTAATTATTCAATGAAAATAATAAGTTGACTATTTCTTTATTATTCAATAGAATATGTATTTCGACAATATTTTTCTTCATTTCTGGGATATAAGAACATTCAATAATTGATGAGGTTTATGAATTAGTAAATAGTTGTTTTTCTATGGATTCGATATTTCTGGAATGCATTTTTTTATCAAGAGGCATGGAAACATTGAGTAATTAATGACATTATTTGAAAAAATAATTTCATTTAAATATTTATTTATACAAGTAGATAGCTGATGTTGGTGATTTTTAAGAAGAAGGGTGCATTGTACCACCTGAGTGTCCGATGATAAGCATGATATTAGAACATAATAAATTTTTGTGGGTACTAATGAAATGAAAGCTAAATTTATTTTCTAGACAGTATAATCGATGACATATTGGGAATAATCATTCTTGGTATATTTTGGATCTTATTTTTTTACCTTATGTTTCTGTTGGTTTTGCTGTTTATATTCATACTATCAAAACGGAAATGAAATCAACGGCAAACCTTATCAAATAACCAAGCGATCAAAATCGACTTGCACTAAAACAAACAGATATAAAACTCGAAAATGATTCCGAAAAAGAGAATTTACTCGATCTCTGTTTCTAATTAACAGCAGCTCAAGTGGGAAAAATCTTGCTAGTATTTTATTGGATATTCGGTGGCATAAGATTCATTACGAAATTGTTCAAATATCTTAATGTAAGATTTAACAATTATCTAACTTTTAAGATACTACTGTGAATCTTTAGCGATCATATAAGTTTATAATTTTCGATCTCAATCATAGAAATAGTTTTGAAAACGATAGTTTTATGAATTTAAATAAATACTGAAGTTATAAAGTAGGTTCTAATTGAGATGCTACTTTTTTAGAATTGAGAAGGCATCTTCTATATTGTGATGCGAGTCTGCCAAAAAAGTCATTCTACAGATAATCTGATTAAATTGTTTATTTGTTTATTGCAGATTACTTAAACGATCAAATTCAAAAGTTTCTTTTCATGTTTTGTAATCTTATGTTTTTATTTTCATTTAATTTTTGTAATTTTTAGAAATAAATGTCCATATGTCAGTTCAAATACCAGATTTTCTCAATGAAAACAAGATGATAGAAGTTGAAGCTAGAAGAAAATTAGATATACGATCTTATGGAGAAACCCCTAGAAAATCATCCAAAAATCATCCAAGATCTCATAATACGATTGTTTAACTTGAACATAACGTGCACGCAATTCAAACTTCAAGTAAATTTGTTTTTCGACTTTTTTTACATCACTTGATAGAGCTTGAGCTGCTGATCATGAAAATCTACTTTTTAACCTTAGTGGATACTTCCTTCCGGTCGAAAAATACGAAATACTCGAAGGGTGCCCTTTTTTTCAAAAAAACACAACTTATCCAAAATGTGCGAAATTTTCTACTTCATTCTTTTTTTTCAGATTCAGCATCAAAAACTGAGTACAGACAATTTGTTAAATCGACTCTAGACCCCAAACTCTATTGGTGGTGACGCTTCGAATCGCGTCGACTATGACGTGAATAGGTTGATTTTGTACACCTATCTAGTTTTTCTATGTAAACGATGA